TATTTAAACAAAGGTAGCTAAACATTTTAACAAATCATTAAGGGGATACAACAAAAATCAGAGTCTTTACTCTGAATTCTGAAATCTCTCTGGCTATCATATTGCCACTGTTAGAGAAACTGAATTCACTGAGGAGATCCTTAGATGGCTTATAAACTAGAATTCAAAATGATATAAAACTTAACCAAATGAATCATAACCATTTGGCAATTGAGTTGATCATAAGGAAATGGCCCCAGAGGGGCCACTTCCGTTTCAGTACTGATAGCAGCCTTTTGAACTCCAAGAAACAAGTGCTTTGTTTATTTTTGTTTGCTGTCTGAAGATAAGCAATTCAAGATCCAGCTTACATTAAGTAGTACAATGCTCAAAGTTGCCACTTAAAGAATCTGCCTTAGAAATATTTTACTTAATGAATGGATTGTAATGAGTTATACAAGCCCCCAATAAAATGATTTAAAACAACTATATGTATATATTTCAAGTATCACATCTGTATAGTACCTGATTGCCTCCAAATGTATTTCACATTCATTATGTAAGATTTATCCCAAATGAGTATATCCACCGACTTAACCCAGTTTGACTAGAGAAACAAATCCAGACACACTTATATGTGTGTTAATAGAGAACTTTATTTCAAAGAGTAATTGTATATAAAAAAAAAACCATCCCAACCCAGTCCAGATCAAGTCCTTAAGTTCGATCTTAGCCCATATGTCCAATACCAATGTATAAAATCCTCTTCCGACTCACTCAACATATACAATGGCGCCAAATGCAGGAAGATCACAGGCCAGTGGGTGGAAAATCCTAGGGATCCAGAGGCGGTGGAAGCATCTCAGTGCTGGCATGGGTCTCCACGTGGCTCCTCCACTCCAAGGCTCTGGCTGCCATCAGCATAGCTCCATGCTGCCATCAGCATAGCTCCATGTGGCTTGTCAACAGGACTTTCTCACAGGGAGAAAGCATATCTGGACTCCAGTGTGCTATTAACCTCTGTGGAGCCTCCAAATGAGGTCATCAAACTACAACCTGATTGACAGGCTAAACTCCACCCCTTCACTCTTAAGAGTCTCAAATTGACACCAGATTATGTAACTACCACATCCATTAAGATGTATCAGTTTGACAGAGGATATCTGCTGAAAATACAAGCATGAATGTACTAGAGAGAGACAAACCATTTGAGGGATGAGGCACTGGGTGTGGGCGATCAGGAAACAGTCTCAGCAGACATCAGGGTCAGCTGACTTTGGGGAGTAGTAGCTGGGGGGTCTTCAAAGCTTGTCAGCATCCATCTAAGGTCCAACACCTGGTCTCTCCTTGTCCAGATTAAAAATGGGTGATGAAAATCACACACGTGGGAGCAATTAGTCCAGTGGACTCATGGACCACAAAAACATCAGTCTTCATCGCCCTAAGTGCAGACTAGAGGGTTCCCGGCTACAACTGCCAACTGCTCTGATATGGATCCCATTAGGGGGTCCTGGGCAGAGTGGAAGAAAAATGTGGAATAAAACCCAATAAAACCTTTAGAGTGACCGGGTTTATCGGGAGGATGGAGAGAGATTATGGCCTTAATCCTGTTGAATCCACCAATGGCTGTTTTTAGCCAAACAGACAGGTGTCTAAGGAGAACAACACTGGTGAGGTACATATGTACACCTTTGAATAATTAAGCATTTGAGGTAAAAAAGGCGGTACTTACCAAGGACAAGATTCTGAAGGATTAGAGAAAAAAGGGAGGACTAGAAACAGGAAACAAAGGGAAGAAGTGGAATGGGATGTTACACTGTGGGGACTACAATGAACGGCAAGGAACCAAAACCAAAGGTGTGTGCATTGTTGAAACTCTGTAAACTGTAAACTCAATTCCCAAAGAAAAGTCCAAAAGAATAAATCCAAAGCTGAAAAAAAGATTTTTATCCCACATGTAAAGAGCTAAGAGCACAAAGCTGCAGACATGTGTTTTTATTTCCTCCTATATTTAATACTAGAAAAATAACCCAAATGATTAGCTATCTAATTGCTACCATATTTACCAAAGCAATTTAACCAAGATTCAAAGAAATGCAAACTACTAAGAAGAATAGTCTTCCATTAAACTTCATTCTCTTTTTCTTTCTGATGCAGAAAGATTTGTGTTTTCCTTACAATTGCAATAGGATTTTGTTCCTATAAATTACACTGGTGGGTGGAAATCACAATATTCCAAGTCTCCCAAAATGAGTAAAATAAAATTTACGCCTCAGGCGTCTGTAATAAATCAATGGTAAGGCAGGCTTTTGTTACTAGCAGAGCATGAAAGAGCTTTCTTCACCCACATTTTGATACTGCCCTGTGGTCTAAGACTTTTGTGACTTTCCAATGATATTGAATGGTATCTGAAATGAACTGTATGGAGATATTGGAAGGATAAACTCTGCTTTATCACAGTACACAAAAGCCAGCAAGAAGTTTACTGATGCAATCACATACATTCATTTTAAGATGTAAGCGTTACAGGCCTGGGCACCAAGTGAAAAAATTTGTAGGGCAGGATTATCTGCTGTATATACTTGAATATAAGCCAACCCAAATATCATCCAAAGCACTTAATTTTACCACAAAAACTGCATTAAAAATGTGCTGAAAAACTCGGCTTATACACAAGTATATATGGTGATTGGCAGAATCCCCTATGGGAAACCACCATTTGGGGCTACCAATATGGAATGAATTCCTTTCTGTAGAGCTTTTCCTCTGTTGTGAAGTTTACATGCATCACACCATTTCCAACCTGCACGGGAAGTCCATACTTTCCATAGCCGCAGCAATGACTTTGAAATGGTGACCTGGAGTGAGAAGACACCTTCCAAGATCTCTCTCTCTTTTCTGAGCAGAAAATTCCCACGATAAAAACCCTGGAGTCCACCCCAGAAAGAAAGTGGCACACTCGAGAAGGTACAATGTTAGCTTCTGAAGTTTTACTTTTGTTTAACACATGGGGTTCACACACAGAAGCCCTCTAACACCACACACAATCCCATAACCAAAGGTTTCAAGGTTATCAACACGCTTTAACTATGTACACCGTCTTCTTTCAACAAAAGTGCAATCCAGACATCTTGACAAGAAATCTTTACTGACAAGAATGCGTTTTTGAGCTGGTTTTCATGGCGGCCATTGGTGATATGCTTTTTCAATTGCCTGGAATAATAAAAAGGTCAAGGAGACATGGAGCTGGATTGGGTTAGGCAGCATCCATTGGGTAAGGAACTGCAAGGGTGACCAGGAGCACTTTCTGCAAACCTCCTTCCAGCTTCTGTCGAAAATCAGTTAAGGCTTGCTTGTCACTTGAGGCTAAGCAAAGGGCTGGCAGGAGTTAGTGACCTGTGCACAGAGCCGAGACTTCAGCTGAAGCACCGGTCTTGCAGGACTAAACCCAAGATGGTAGCCAGTTAGTTTTGGCGATGATGTATCATGTGACCTGTCAGTACACGTGCTAGCGTTCTGGTTTGACAGCTAGTATTCTTTCATGATGAATTAATTTCTCCAAACTGTAAGAAAATACTTTAAATGCAGAAAGATTTAACAAAGATAAAACAAAGTTTTAACAAAAACTGGAAATTAAAGGGTGTCTGGGGAAAGCTCTTCCTTAATTGGGGCAGAGTAACCGATGCCCTGATGCCAGGACACAAAGTCTCTCCTTCAAGGTGCATGCTCAGCACCTTGACTGCTGCAGGTGGGGAGCTGAATGGACCTAGCGAGAAAGTGCCCAACCCCAGGAAGTCACTTTCTCCTCACCGAGAGATGTTAACTAATTGAGCAGATAAGTTTATTTGCTCAAAGTAATAACTCCTAAAGAGAAATGATGTTTTTTAAAAAGAACAAACATTAGAGTAGATGAAAAATCAATTTGAAATTATTAAAAGTGGGTCATTTTATTGAACTGAAAACTGGGAAAGCAGAAATTGGTTCTCTTGGGTGACTAACACCCCTTCATGTCCTAGCCACCTACAAAAATAATCATCTTTCTTGACATATTCCAATTCCCATCAAGGTACTCAGCACCCAGCGTTTTGAGAAAGCTTGGGGAAAGCCCTAAAGTCAGCAGAATTTCAAAATGAGATTTATCTCACAGGGTTGCAGACTCAGTTTTATTTTATTCTCAAGGCAGACAAATTTTCCCTTTTAATCAAGAACATAACACCTTAACGGCAAAATATCTCCTCAGGTCTGACACCTCGGCCCATCTTTTCAGGTCACTGCAGCATCTATAAAATTCTAATTTTATCATTAAAATAAAGGACCTGAGAAAAATCTGCCCAATTGCAGTGAAGTCTCATTATGGAAAACAAGACATGGGGAAAAATATTTACTGCGGCAAACACAATACCCATATTGTTTTAGACTGAGGGACTTGCTGAATGCAGCCTTATAGGGAAACTCTAGTTTCAAGGCAATATACACAGGTAGCATGATAAAACTTTAGCTGGGCTAAAGAACAGAATTACCAATATTTTAAGTTCAGAAATAAAATCCAATATGTATTCTAGAGACCAGAGAAACTTACAATTTTTCTATTTGGGTAGACGAGAGGATCAGCGAGGAACAAGCTAACACGCGATGGCAGCTTTCGCCCGGCAGACACATTTGCAAGGGCCCGTCTATACCCCTCTTTCAGTTACCTCGAACACCAGCACACCTCTGCTGCTGCTCCGTTTCTCACGGGCACTTGGAGCATCTCACCCACAGCGAAATATTTTTCAGATCATCAAGCACCAAGCCAGCTGCAGCAAACCACTGACAGTCACCCAGACGGAGAGATGAAGATCGGTGGGTGCACTGGCCCGTTAGTGCTGTGCCGTCTGAAACCACACATCCAGGATTCGGTGCCATAGAAATGATGGTGATGCCGGAAACACTTCCACAGCGAAGAGCCAGTTTCCCCAAAGAAAAAAATGGTATGCCGCCAAATAAGTAATTAAAAACATCTAATGTGGCGACTCATAAAACATGGTATGTTCCACATTCTCTTAGCATGTACATAGTTGAAATTAACAGACACATTTTTAAGAATAAGTCACATTCCAGTTCCAACTGTATAAATCTATGGGGTGGCCTGATTTAAATCACCAAAAGGCTGAATTTTGGAAAGCCCAATGATCTGACTGATCAAGTTCTATCTAGTGACACCTTTTTTCACCAATGAAAAGGTACTAGCGGGTTAACGTGTATGCCTGCGGACTTGAAAGGTGGAAGTTTGAGGTGGCTCAGAAGAAAGGCCAGGCAACCCCCTAACAAAAGAAAGCAGCCACTGAGAACATAATGCAGTGCCTAGGTGGGCACACATGGGATTGTTTTGACTTGAATCGCTCAATGGCAACTCATGAAGGTGTAAGGACCTTAGGAATATGTGCTTTTTCTTATTGTTATGATTACTGCTTTTTTTTTCAAAATGAAACACACTTAACAATATTGAAATTATTCTTTTCCTTCGCTTTCTCTCACATGTGCACTCTCCAAAAAAAAAGAAAAGCGTTCCCTTTCTCTCTTGGTCAAATCTTGCACTTCTCAGCATTAAAAGGGTAGTGCATGGGGAGATGATGCTGGGGGGCAGTGCTTGGTGGTGAAACTCCCCACTGGGGGTCTGTGGCTATAACGTGTACGTGGGAGCAGAGCTGACAAAAGGACACAGTGACAAGGATCAATCGTGACCACCCAAATCCCACGAGGTGTGCATCTCCTCCTGGAGCTGTTTTGGCAACTTCAGTGGCGCAATTCAAGTGAGAGATTAATCCTCTTGGATCCATGAGCACCGTTTCCAAATTTCCAAATGAACTCTGATGCTGGTCAGCTTCCCTACAACTATTTGTCACAAAAACAGCCTCTCTCTGTCCTGTCATGTGGGCAACATCTTCAGTACAGAAAAACAGCGATCGATTCCACCAGTGATGGGCACGGCACATGGCCCACATCAAGCAATCTCTCAGCACAGGCCGCCGCCACATCAGCGTGCTGAAGAGCATTAAGCCCAGACAATCTGCTACACACTCGGCTCTCCAGGGACCAGTTTACATTCACTTGTCACTTATTTCTCCCAGGGTCCCTGGAAGAGCTGCCTGTCTTCAGACAGCGACCACCATGGGGAGCACTTCGCCTGGCCCCGGCTGTGCATTCAGCCCCCAGGACCTCCCCGTCCTCCTCACCCCACCTTAAAGCTGCACAGACTCCACCCAATGGGGAACCACCCGCTACCCCAACCTCACAGGACCACCCGTGTGGGTTCCGGTCAAACCTCGACAGACACCCGGGAATCAGCGCACAAGGGGGGGGGGGTCCATTTTAGTGGCACACACACAGTCACTCTCCTTCAAAGAAGAGAAGAAATGAATGTCACATAATGTTTCCCTATAAAAGATACGTAATAAAGTAAGAATACCAATAAAATAGCTATTACTAAAGCAAAGCTGTCATCAATAAGCTTCGAGGACTTTGAAGGAGGAGAATGGCTTCACGAAATGGTAGTCCAGATTCCCGCAGTGCGGACACTGCTGGACGTTACTGTACTCGGAGAAGTACTGCATCCCGATGCGCACGTCAATCACCGGTTTCCCACAGTGCTTGCAGTTCAGGCGGGCCTGCCGGAGACACAGACACACACGTCAGCAAGGCGCGCAGGGCTGCTCCCCTTATAAAGGCCACCCAAACAAGTGTGTGTGACTGTCCTCTAGGGAAATGGACCAAGAGTTCAACGGCCAAAAGCGGGGTCTACACAAGCTAAGAGGGCAGTCAGCTGCCAGCTAGCTGGCTACAACTCCCAGTGACCTCCCCCACACGAGAAGGTGGGTTGCCCCGTCCTGCCCACCTGCACAAGTCTGGAGATGCTCCAACCCACTGTCGCTGTGCAAATACGTGGCCAGCTCTGGGGCACTGTTGGGTAGGTGTTGGGCCTGCTAACTGAGAAGTCACCAGTTCAAACCCAGGAGCTGCTCCTGGGGAGAGAGCTCAAGCTTTCTGTTCCTGTCCAGATTGACAGCCTCAGACACCCCATATAGAGTTGCTGTGAGTTAAAATGGAATCAAAGGCAGTGGCGTTTTGTTTTGCCAATCCAGGGAGGGCTTATCTTCTGGCACTACTGGGACACTGGTCTGTGTGATCCATACCGTTTTCACTGGCTAATTTTCAGAAACAAGTTGCCAGATCTTTCTGCCTAGTCTGGAAGTTTATCCTGGGGCTTTCTGGAACCCAAAAGAGCATGTTGCATCTCCATTCATGCCCAACCTCCACCTAACAGTAGGACGTCTGAGGATTTAGTAAATGGCCAGAAATCACACACGGCCAGCTCGATCTCCATCCATTACGAAAAGGTAGTAGAAAAATAGCATGGCATTTTGTTTGCCTAAAATGCCTGTGAAGTAGGGAGTGGTATCTGACTTTGATAATGAAACTGAGGCACATCACGGTTAGGTACCAGGCCCCAGATCCCGGAAGGAAGCAGCAGAGCTGGGGTTTAAAGCACGGTACTTGACTCCAGAGCCACTAGACCAGGATGCAGCTCCTCATGTGGCAGTGAGCCCCCAGCCATAACATTATTTCCATTGCTCCTTCATCACTGTCATTTTGCTAGTTATGAATCCAGCGAACCCTGTGAAAGGGTTGGTCGACCCCCAAAGGGGTCTTGACTCACAGGTTGAGAACCACTGCTCTAGACACTCTCTAACCTGGGCTGGGAAGCCCTCCAACCAACAAATCCCTCCAAATGACATCAAGAGCCAGATCTGGGCAAACCCCTCTTTATCCACCTCCTTAATTGGCTATTCCTTTCTAGTCATTAGCACGGCTTCCTTTGGGTTCAAAGTCTGATCGGAAAACTTGTTTGGACTCTTCAGCAGTGTATAAGGTGTGTATCTTTACAGTGACTTGATCTAATTGAGTCTTTATAAAAGCAAACAGTGACCGAACGTGTCTATTGCCGTTCAGGGCCAGAAACAAAAGATGCGGCTTTAATGCTGTGAGGGAGAAGCAGCACAGAGTGAGTACCAATTTGCTGTGTGTGGCGGGATGCCATTCTACCTTTTCTCTCTGAAGATTTGGAAGCACTCCCACTGGCCCTCAGTGGGGCAGGAGGGGAGGCCAGCTTGGGAACAACAGGCTCTGGCCCTGGGCTGGACCCAATCCCAGCACTCTCTGGCCTCCAGTGTGGGTGTAAAACCTGGAAGGGCAGGGGGCCGGGGTGGGGGGTGGGGGGGTGTCATCTCCAGCTGTAACGTTAACTCGTCCATGCATTCTTTCATGACTCTGGGTCTTGAAAAGCGAAACCTCTGGGCTGTGTGTGGAGGGGGGAGAGCTGGCACTAAGGCATGGTCACTCCAGTGAAATGAATGTTCGAGGGCATGACACACTAAATGCCAAGGGCAGTTAAATCTGGAGATGGGTGCGGTGCATTAGGATAGTGTCAGAATCACCAGACCAACCTGGAGTCAAAAGGGCAAGTCATGCACGAGGACTTAGGACCCTCGTGGCCAACTGCAGTCAGAATACCAGCCATGCCAAACGTCATTCGAGACATTTTATTTTCCGCATAAGGTGATCATAATAAAGGCACGCTCATTTTGAAAGTCAAACTAAACTATGCAGTGAATGTTGTTAGCGCTGTCAAGTTAATGCCTCTTGGCGAATAGTCGGGATATAACCACGGGCACCACCCAGGGCCTCCATGTGGTGACTGAAACGTTAGTCAGTACTTAAAGTAAAAGCTCCGTGTGGACCATGAGAAGCAAAGGCAATTACTCTTACCCAGGAACCTCGAGGAACATCAACACGTGCTTTCCCCTGCCCCACCCGCACTGCCACCGAATGATTCTAACTCAATAGCCTCACATTTTTATGGGCTGACAGAGAATGGTTTTGCTGGTTCTTCAAAAAACGCTTTTTATCGTGAGTTCGGTCAAGCTTTGTGTAGAGCAAGACAGTTTTCCATTCAAATCCAGATGCACATTTTGTTTCATGTCACGGATTGCAACTCCCACAATATAATATCCCCCGCATTCCACTCCCTGTGTTTCCTGTTTCCGTTCCTCCTCCTTTCCCAAGATGAGCCCTGGTGGCGGAGTGGTTACGCACAGCGCTGCTAACCCCAAGGCGGGCAGTTCAAAACCACCCACCATTCCTCGGGAGAAAGAGAAGGATTTCTATTGCAATCACAGAAGCAGTCTCAGAAACCCACAGGGCCAATTCCACCTTGTCTCACAGGCTCTCCGAGTCTGAAGCGACTCAGTGGCAGCGAGTTTGGTTCTTTGACCCTCCTGAGCGCTGACTTTGGTACATGCTGCCCTTTTGATCTCAGGGTTTGAACATGTGAGATCTCCCTCCCTCTCTGATGACAGTTCCGTTGTGAATGCTCTCAGAGCGATAGAAGACGCCTCCTGGATTACTGTCAGGATTACTAACGGTCCACGCCCATTTTAAGCACCTCGCAAGGCAGGCAGCTTCACTGTTCCACAGGCACAAAAAGAAAATCCTGCCTGCGAAGTAAACCTTCCACTTTCTTGTAAACAAATTGGTCTTGATACACGATACCAAACACTAGAAAGTGTAAGTCTGTGAAGGAGAATTGACGGCTTGTCCCCGCACCTCCCAGAGACGCCCTGTGGCAGGTTCACAGCCCCTTTTCAAAAGGAAAACATACTATATTGCTATTCTGCAACCTAATTTTCTTTTACACTTATTTTTCTGAGATTTCTCCCGGCATGATTTATATCTTGTTCTGCAATATTCTGAGTGACTCCATGGGAGTTGTTCATGAATGGAGCACAATGATTCAGTGCTTGCCTTCTAACTAAACAGTCAGCGTTTCCCACCCAACTAGAGGGCCCTCGGAAGAAAGGCCTGGGGGTCTAGTTCTGAAAGGCCATGGCCTGGACAGCTTGAAAGAGCACAGTTCTACTCGGAAATGGAACTGCCGCCAAGGCATCGGTTCAATCCCATTGAGTGGTTGCAGCTCGATGTGTGAAGTCAGCCAGCACGGCTTTGTAGCAGCTTCGGCTCACTTTCTGGAGCTTCTTCTCCATGGCCCCAACCCCACCCCGAGTCACACACCACAGCCCCTCACTCATCAGGCTCACGTAGGTCAAACCCCGGTCTTAACCTCTGCTCCCTCGGGAGGGGTCAATACCAACCTGACAGCAGGGCGAGGCGGCCAGGATGTCGTAGGTGTACATGGTGCCCAGCTGGTGCCAGCTGCCGTCCCACCGGGACTTACACTTGATGCAGATGATCTTGTGCACCCCCTCCAGGCAGTCCACACACACTGCGTACAGGTGCATGAGTCTCCCTGTGCACAGAAGACACAATGCTGAGTGGCCATCACGGAACCTCGGATTGTCTCCAAAGGGGGCAGACAAGGCCCCATCTAGCAATTATAAACAGACATGTCATCATCTGGATAAACGAAAACATCGAAGTACACAATGCCACATGTTGCTAAGTTACCCTTTTAGAATAATGACGGAAGACTAACTACAGTCCATGGGAGGTAGATTTGAAGCTCAAGCTATTGAAGGCTTCAATTCACTTTCCACCACGTGTCTATCAGTGTGCTGTTCCCGCGGTGGCATCTATGCTGCTGTGCTGCTGGAAGCTGTGCCACTGATATTTCAAACAGTCGCAGGATGACCCAAGGTGAACCGGTTTCCTCGGAGCGTCCAGAATAACAACAAACTACAAAGAATGAAGAAGCTGTCCACTTGTCAGGGATGCGCCACTAAAACTCTTACAGACAGCAGATACACTGAGACTCGTATGGCTTAGCAGCAGGGCACTGTCAGAAACGACGCCAGAAGATGGGCCCCTCGGTTTGGGGGCTCTCAACACAGGGCTGAGAAAGAGCTGCCTGCTCAAAGCAAACCAGCCACAAGGATGTGCGTAGAGTCAAGTTTTCAGGACCATCGTGTACCTAGGAGGCATGACTCAAAATGAGATGTTACAGCTGCAAGTATCTGTTAGTATGTAAGTGGAACGTGGGATGTACACATAAAGCTCAAGCTACAGGCCTTAGTGAGCAGAAATGGACGGGTCTGGCCATTTTGAATCCGACAATCATATGGTTCTTTATGCTGAAAATGACAAAGTCTAAAGGAACGGCATCATCATATTCATCATCAAAAAGAACATTTCAAGGCCTATCTTGATGCCCTGCTGTTAGGATATCTGTAAACATACATGGAAATTTACTCAATACAACTGTTCTTCAAATTGACACACCAACCACTAAAGCGGGTGATGGTGAACTTGAAGAACTCTCCCAGCTTAAGTCTGAAGCTGTTCTAGCATCAATCAAATTGTGCTGATAACTACTGGTGATGGGAATGTTAAACTTGGAAACAAAGAGGAAGGAACAGTACTTAGAAAATATGGTCTTGGTTGCAGGAACAAAGGTGGAGATCACATGCTAAAGTTTTGCAAGACAAATAACTTCATCAAATGTACCTGTTTCCAACATCAAACGGCGACTATGCACACAGATGTGGCCAGATGGAATCCACAGGCATAACAACAGCTACATCTGTGGGCAGAGCAGCCATGAGGGGCTAATGAGGACAGGGTTTCCTGTGGAACAGCCCTTCAATTGTTTCTCTCAAACTTCCAGTTGAAGTCATTGGAAATTAAAACGTCTGCAAGAGCCAAAATATAACCCTCAGTATATCCCACCTCAATTTCAAGAACATCTTAAGTACAGATTTGACACCAATTCGAGAGCATCAGCAATGTCAGACACGAAGAAAGCATAAGGTAATTTAAAAGATAAGAAAGAATGAAAAGACCAAGGTGGAGATCAGAAGAGACTCTGAAATTTGCTCTTGAACAAGATCAGGGCAGCTAAAGCAAATGGAAGAAATGATGAAGTAAAAAATAATTACATGAATAACCATGAGTACAGGAAGAAGAGAATGTTCTAGAATTGATTTTAGTGATGCCTGGATGTGACTGAATTACTGAATAGTATGACATGTGGATGAAGTGCCATTAAAACTGAAGAAGTAAAGAAGTTGAACAACAAATTTCAAAGGGCACTAAACAAGACAACGTAAAAGCATTCTAAAGAAACGTGCAAAAGTGTATAGCGTTAGAAAGCCCCAAAGGAAGAACAGCATGCTCAGCATATCTTAAACTGAAAGAACGCAGGAAAAGCTCCATGTCTTGAGTTGCAATATTGAAGAATTTCATGGTCAAAATGCTGAATGACAGAGGAAGCATAAAAAGATGAAAGAATGCAAAGCCCTGTACCAAGATAAACTGGTCAGCACTGAGCCATTACGCGGATTCAGATATGATCAATAACTAATGATATCAAAGGGAGAAGTCCAGGCTGCACTTAGTGAAATCAAGGTTCCAGGAGTTGACTAAATTACCAATAGAAATGTTTCAACCAGATGAAGGAGCACTAAATCAGTGGCGAGTTGCCAGAAACTCACACTGGAACAGGAAAGGATGTAGAGTGAGGCGCTATCACTGCTGACATCAGATGGATCTTGGCTAGAAGCTGAGAACACCAGAAAGATGTTTGCTTGTGTTTTATTGACTATGAAAATGCATTGGCCTATGGATAAACTATAGCTAGCCTCTAGAAGAATTCCAGAACACTTCATTGTGCTCATGCAGAATTTGTACTTGGATCTAGATGTAGTCATCCGAGCAGAACAAGGGAATCTTTCGTGGTTTAAAATCAGGAAAGGTGTGCATGAGGGCTGTGCCCTTTCACCACACTTATTCAATATGTATGTGGAGCAAATGATACTAGAAGTTGAACTATATGGAGAAGAATGTGGCATCGAGCTTGAGGGAAGACGTATTAAGAACCTTCAGTATTCAGATGGCACAAACATAAAAGCAAGAGGACTTGAAGCATTCGCTCCTGAAGGTCAAGGACGATAGCTTTCAGTACGATTGCAACTCAGTGTGAAGAAAACACAAATCCTCACAACAGACAACATCATCATAAACAGAGAAAAGATTGGAGTTGTCCAGGATTTCATTGCTTAAATGTAAAACGAGCGCTGTGGAAGCAGCCATCTAGGCGCCAGGTGACGTACTGCACTGGGCAAATGTGCTGCACAGACCTCTTTAGGGCGTTTAAGGGGAAGGCTGTCATTTTGAGGACTAAGGTTCACCTGACCCAGGCCATGGCATTCTCTAACCTAACATGATGTGAAAGTTGGACAGCGAATAAGGAAACCAAAGTGAAACAGACACACGTGCATTACGGTGCTGGCAAAGAATATTCAAGGTACCCGGGGCTGCAGGCGTGCAAGCACCCACCCATCAACCTGTCTTGGAAGAAGTAGAGTCAAAATGTGTCCTGGAAGCAAGGATGGCGAGCCTCGGTTCTCACATGCTTTGGACTATGACCAAGATCAACTAGTCCCTGGAAAGGACAGCACGCTTGATAAAGTAGGGCAGTGGGCGGCAAGTAGACGGGAGGAGACAAACTGACACGGTGCCTGCAGCATAGGGTCCAACCTAACAACGGTGAAAACGCAGCAGGGCCATGAAGTGCATCCTTCTATTGTACATTAGGACGGACCTGACGGCACCTAACAACAACAATTCACTGTTCTTAAAAGTGCTGCTAAGTTTATATAGTAAGAGCATATGCATTCAAATGACCCAGACACACCTTCGTCACACCTGACAACAACAACAGGGAATTTCTGCTCAGAAGTCTATGTGTGGCAGAGGGAGGCTGGACAAACAGCACTGGGGAGTGATCACGGGTGCCCGTCCCTGAAGAGATGAACACACAGTAAGAATGACCGAGAGATGGCCCCACACCAAAGGGGAGAACTGAGCCTGGCAGGAATGGGGGCTTTAGAGTCTAAGCTCTATTCCGGTAAGTCCCATCCTAGAACAGTCAAGTGTCTGTCTTGGTATTGATAGCCCAGAATTATACCACAGCCAGAACTATGTTAACTGTTCTCGAAGTTGTTGCACCGTCACCACATCTAATTTAGGAACCAGAATTATATCTTTCTTGTAAGTGGTTTTTAAAAATAAGTTAAATGTCTTGTTATTTACTGGAATCGAAAAAGTCACCAAGTGGCTCAACCTTGTTCTCCTCTCATTTACCAACATCTCACTGCTTCTGTAGAAGAACCAGGGATCAGATGGTCTGAGAGCATCCAGGACCGGCCTGTGGGATGCGTAACAGCAGCACTGCTGTGCTCTGTTTGGGGACCAGAGAGCCGCTCTGTAGTCCAGTAGAGCACCAGAACCCTCTCTCCCAGGTGGCTTGATTCAGGACGTGCTTCCCGGTGCCAGTTAGACCAGGGATTTCAACTGTCAGTAAGAAGCAGCCTGCCTATTACCTGTTAGAAAAGGGTCCGTGGTGCTCACAGGGAACCCCTCCATCTCACTTGCTCCCTAGCTCTGCCTCCCCATGACGGAAGGAACCTTTGTAGCCTCGGTATCTTGTACAATGTTGGGGGGGGGGGCGTGGAAAGCACCCTGGAGTGTGTGCTGGATGAACAGGCAGTGCATGTCAATAGCCAAGGACATCACGAGATGGGGACCTCTATGCCGAGGGTGCTAAGAGTGACCAGGACTACTTGGCAGTACCACCCACCCCGGCTCTGGGGCACTCTGGGTCCAGTCTCCTCCTACACCTACTCACTGTAGTTCTGACACATCCAGAGGCACAGGCTAGTGCTAGGAAGGGGTAGGGGGCAGAGGTTGCTGCAAAAGCCAGGTGCTGCTGGCAGTGGTGACAAATGCCTGTTACAGACTACCTGTGACTCGGTGCTGTGCTTTGAGCCCTGTGTGAATCATCTCACATCACCTTCATCACAACCCCAGGAAGCAGACACGATTGTCGTCCCCACATTAGTCAAGAGGAAATGAAGCTCTTTAGAGAGTTTAAGTCTCTTGTCTAAGTGGCAACGCCCAGACTTCCGTTCATGAGACCTACTGCCCAGACTGAGTCTCTAGATCTGTTTCCATTTCTAATACACATTGTCTCAAGCACAAAGAACGTAGCGTTTCTCAAATGCTACAGACATGAGTTCGATGTGAGTACAGGGGGTGGATTCCAGAGAGAACCATCACGTGTGGTTCAAAGTAGTGAAGCCCAAGGGCAACTGCCTAAGTAAAGTGATCTTTACAAATGATCCAAATCGAACAAAGATACATGCTCAGAGGAAGAGTCCAGAACTGAAGCGGAAAGAGGAGGAAGGACAGGGCAAGGGAGCACCACCCCACGAGAGCGACCTCACACCGAAAACCCAGCGTGGGCTCCGTCAGCAGCAGTTCGCCAGGCACAGCCGGGGGAATCCTGCAGCC